CTTAAATTAATCAATAAAAATTCTCATTTTTGATTTGAAATGATTTTTCCCTTGTAAAAAAAAAAAAAAAAAAAAAAAGAGACATTCATTTGTCTAGGAAAGTTTCTTTGGTTTTCCTGGAAATTTTCTGTTTTGAACAATATTCTTATTGTTGTTGTTGTTGTTGACAATCATCATCATATCGATTGTTCATTGTGTTTTCGGTCGATTTTGTTATGGACTACCTTTTTTTTGGATGATGATGATGTTGATCACTTAATCTTAATCGATCAATCAAATCAATCAAGTGAAGAAAATTTTTTCATGCAACAAACGAATAAAAATTATCATCATCATCATCATCATGCTGTGCAAAACAAATGTTTTTTTTTCATTTCATTTGATTTAAAATCAAGCGAAGAAATATTTCCGAATTTTTTTTTTGAAATTTCCGAAAAGTTTTTTTCATCAGTTTGTATTAGTCGGGAAATTTCCTGTAAAATGGCTATTATTAACGAAAATCGATTAACAAAGTTGAATTCAATTTTTTTTCAAATGCTTTTAACCTGTCTGTAATTAGTTAAGATAATAATAAAAAAAAAATTCAATTTAAATTTAACACTTCGTTTGATCTTGATGATCAGATTCTATACCCAACCATATAACTTTTTTTTCTACTTCTCTCTCTCTCTCTCTCTCTCCCTGCATTTGATTTTATCAGAAAAAAATTCATTACATCATCCTTAATTACATCAACGATGATGATTAAATGGTGGTGGAAAAATAAATAGAAAATTTCATTATCAAATATATATACCTTTTTGCTTTCCAAATACTGAAAGAAAGAAAGATAGAAAAAATCAATGACCTATGGTCATTCATTTTCCTTTGCATTCGGCTGAGCAGAAAAAAAATTGTCATTTTTTCCTATGAAATCCTATGATGTAACTTTTTTTTCTTTAAAAAAAGATGATAAAAATAGAAAAAAAATATGAATAATTTTTAGCGCATGTTTGTTTGATTGATACAGAAAATCTCTTTTTGATTTTTGATTTTTTTTTTTGATTGTCTTTTCTAATTGATCATCATCATTCTCTGAGGAACAATTTGAATAACATCCCTGAACTTTTTTTTACATTTTAATCAATTTCTCTTCAATTTTTCGACAGTTGAAACCTTGTTTCATTATTGGATTATAAATTACGTTATTTACGAAAAATTACGAAATTTTTCTAATCAAAAATATTCTCTTTTCTCTTTTTTTCTCTTTTTCTCATTTCTCAATTTGATTATAATCAAAGGATTATCGATTATCAGCATGGTATTTTATGTTTACATTATCCAAATCAATTGAATTACTTGATACTGGTTTTGTTTTATTACGTAAAAAACCATTAATTGTTTTACATTGGATACATCACCTATTAACACTTAATTATTCATGGTTTGTATTTTCGGATGCACCAGCTACCGCACGTTGGATGTGTAATATGAATTATTTTGTTCATTCATTAATGTATACATATTATGCGGCAAAAGTAGCCGGCATACAAATATCACGTCGTATTTCGCTAACAATAACAACATTACAAATTGCACAAATGTTTGCCGGTTTATTTGTTAATTATAAAGCATTACAAAGAAAATTAATTGGTTTACCTTGTGATGCATCATTGTCGGTATTGATAACCGGTGTTACCCTTTATGGTTTATTTGCAATTTTATTTATCAATTTTTTTATTTGGACATATATTATAAAACGTTCAAAAAATCGTATCCGTACCGCTGTTCGTCATTTTACATCATCAAACAAAAATAAAAATAATAATAATGATTTGGATAATGATAAAACATCTTTAATCGATAAATCAACAATAACAACGACGACAACAAATAATGGATCAATACAATTTGTGGCCAAAAAAGTTCAATAACCAATGGAAGACAACAACAACAGAAAGCAAAAAGGAATCAGAATCAATCATAATTTCCAAAAAACAAAATTGATTTTTACAAGTTTTTTTTTAAATTACTAAATAAACCAATATTATTATTATTATCGAATTATAATTAAAATTTTACACAAGACACACACTTATAATATTAATAAAGACTTTTTTTGTTTATCAATCTCTCTCTCTCTCTCTCTCTCTTCGTGTATAAATTATAAATCAATTTTAACATAATACACACACACAGAATATTCTTCTTCTTCGATTTATTCATTCATTTTGAAATTTTCTTAAAATTTTTATTCCGTTTGTAATAATTTTTTTTATATTGCCAGTGATGAATTTTTTAATTAATTACTTTTCAAATGGTTTTTGATTGAATAAATTTTTGTGGAAAAATTTTTTTTTATCGTTTTTTTACATGGTTATCCGTATAATGAATGACATTAACAACCATATGACTTTACCTTAATTAACATCGTTTAATCGCAATTTTAATCAATCAATCGATCGATCGATCGATCGATTAATTGAATTAATCAATCGGATTTTTAATTGATGCTGGCTTTTAAAATTCCAAAAATTCCTTATTTTCCCTCCGTTTTTTTTCAAAAAAAAAAAATCGTTAAAGGAAGAGAATTTTCAATGAATTTCTTTGGAAATTTGCCTAAAATTACACGCGCGTAATTATCACTGGATAATCAGGAATTTGTATTCTTATTGTTGTTTTTTCATTGGAAAACATCGTTCCACACGGAATAAAATTGAATTTTTGCTTTATTCAGTTATTACGCCAGAAAACCGAAATAAAACTTGACTAATTTATTCATCGATGACGTAAATATTGACGAATTCTGTTTTTTAAGCAAGAAATTATATCTTCAAAGATTACATCGACGAAATTATCATTTCTTTTTTGGCTAAAAATAGGATTGAATAATCAGTTTTTGCTTTCTTCTTCTCTCTCTCTCGAAAAGAAAGGTACATTCAGGTGCGTTTAATTTTTTGCCGAAAGAAAAAATTCCAAAAATATTTACGTTGAAAGGTAATCAAGTAAGTAATTTCCATAATTGAAGGTCAAATCAATGCAAAGAAGGGAGAGAGAGAGAGGGGGGTACTTTTAATGACGATAATGACGATCATCATCAACAGCGATTATTGATGATAATAATCTCTGTGTAAGTGTTTATTCGATGACGAATATGGATTTGAAATGAAAACAAGATATTCTTCTTCTTCTTACGTTGTTTGTAATTGATTCATGTGATAACTTTTCTTTTAGTGATAACGTGATAATATTTCTCTTGTTTGTTTGTTTGTTTATATTTTTCAAATCTTGTTTACATTTTCTTTCTCTCTCTCTCTGTCCGGTGCTTTTCTGCTGTTGTTTGTTTGTTTGTTTGTTTATCTGTTTTGATTATCACCTTTTTTTTAGTTGGGAATTTTTCCAGAAATTAAAAAATCCGATCAAATTAAAAAAAATCGATGATGAAAATAATTCCTTTTGAAGCCTATCATTATCAGTTTTTTGTTGTTGTTGTTGTTTGCATTGTTGTTGTTATTCACGTTTTGTTGTTGTTGTTGTTGGCAATTTTGTTCTTTCCTTCGATAGATATTCAGGGGAAAAAATTGAATAATTTTTGAACAATTTTTTTTCAAAATTCAAAAAAAAATTGGAAAATTTTAATCTTCCTCACTGCTGACCATTTTCGAAGAAATCCAAATTGATGATGATGATTATTGTACAGAGAAATTATCTTCTTTTTTTTCCTCAACAAATTAATTTTGCATCAAAATGATGCAATCACATCCGACAATGTGCAATTTTCTTCTTGTTGTTGTTGCATCTCCATTATTTTCTGCCCGTGCAGAAAATCGTTAAAAATTATATTTTTGAAAAAAAATTTCGAAAAATGTTCCGAATCACCATCAACAGATGGCGACACAGTCTATGCAAAATTTGAAATTAAAAAAAAAAAAATTTTCACATTTTTTTGTTTTCTAATTTCCTTCGATCCTTGAAATGTCGTTCGTTTTTGTTTGATTATGGTGGATTAGTTTTCATCATTCGACCAATAATGATCGAATGATGGACAGACTGATTGACTGACTGACTGACTGACAGTTCGATCAATCAATCAAATTATTATTCAAGAAAGAAAAAATTTTTTTATTAAATTTCATTTTTTCAACAAAAAAAAGAAAAGAAAATTAACAAGGTGTGTGTGTGCGAAAGAAAATCCAATCTTTTTTCTTTTTGTTGTTGAAAGCCGCTTCTGTTCATCATCATCATCATCATCATCATCGACAACAATTCATCATTATCATTTAAAACAGGAAAAAAATGAACATTGTCCATGACGTGATTAAATCAAATCAAATCAGCAAAAAAGAAAAACTAATAACGTTCAATAAACGCAACATATGAACAACGTCGTCGTTGATCGCTAATTCGTGTTCGTGTTCAATATTTTAATATTTAAAAAAAATCGCTGTTTTTTTTTTTGTTTGTTTGTTTGCTAATCGCGCTGTCAAAACAAAAATTTTCAAGAATTTTTTTAAAACGAAATTCCGGTTTTTTCCTTGTTTTTTTTTGTCTGTTTTCAAATGCAGGAAGACAGAAAAAAATCAGACAAACAAGTAAAATGCTTTTGTTTTTTGTTTTTGTTTTTTTCAACAGCAAACAACAATTTACGTCAAACGAAATAACGTAAAGAATTTTTTTTATCTGAAAAAAATCTTTTTTCGGAAATCTGGTTGCTGTGATGATGGTGGTGACCATCATCACAGCAAAACAACAACATCGATGTCAATCTAGAAACCAAAAACTCGTGGAAAAATGATTTTTTCGTTGAAAAATCACTGTTTGCTACATGTGATGATTTTCAACAGCAAAAAAAAAATCATTGATATCATCATCATCATCAGATGACGATAATTATCTCGTGGTCGTTGTTGTTGCGTTTGGATGGAGGAAAATTATCATTTTGTTGTTGACGGAAAAAAACCCATTTTCATCAACGAAGATGATGATCAAATAATGGAAGAAAGAAAAATTTTCTCACCAAAATTTTTGTGTGAAAAATTTTTAATTTTTTTAAAATTTTTTAAAAAAAGATTATTGCTTTTGCATGTTTGGCAGTAATTATTTCAAGGTTGTTGATCATGATCATCAAAGGCCAGGCATCACCTTAGATATGAGATTCAGGATAAAAAAAAGTAAAAGTAAGGTAAAGTAAGTGAGTAAAGTAAAATGAAAAAAAGGGGTTTGGATGGAAATTTTCCTTATTTTTTTCATATTAAAAAAAATATTCTTCCTGAAAAGTTTCTCAACCTAAAAAATCAAGGAAGACAAACAAACAACAAAACAACAACAAAATTGTTATAGGGAAAGTTATTATTTTTTTGGTCAAACAAAATATTTCCGTTACCAATCAATCGATATTGATTGATCGATATTGAAATTGTATCGATCAGGATGACAAGTATGACTTTATGGAAATGTAATCCTTTATCAATGGGATATTCGATCTTTCTTTTTGTTTTGTAATTCAAAACATCATCAAATGACGATGTTTTTCATTCGTTTTTACCTTTTTTTTCATTTATTAATCGATTGGAAATCAAATACGAAACGGAATCCTAATGTACTCAGATGAATGTAACTCGTTTTTTTTGTTGTGGACATCCACCACCACCACCAGCAAACAATTTTTTCTATGGAAAAATTATCATTATTTTTAGCTTAAAAACAACAACAACAACAATCTACGTCAATTGAAAATATGTTTTTCTTTTCTTTCAATGAAAGATGCTATAGCTAATGAAACATTCTGTGAATTCCACAAAATGAATGAATGTAATATATTAAACGCCCAAAACAAAAACGATTTAAACTTGCACTTAGAGTTTAAAATCTTAATTATAAAATGGTTTTTTTTTCTATGTTTGTCTGGTTTTGCTTCCAGTTTTTGTTAAAATATACAAAAAATACACTGACTGATCGAGAAATATTGCCGGAAAGAAAACTTTCGGGAAATTTTTTTTACATTATTCATTAAAAAATCATTATTACAAACAAGGTAGATAATTAAATTAATAAAAAGGGTATTCTTTTTTGTTATTGTTGCATATCATTATCATCAATTATCATCAATTTGTTACTAACTAGCCAGGTAAATTCAAAACGACCATCAATAATTATCGATAAACAAAAGTGAAAATGAATGAAAAAGACGAATACAAATACAAAAGTCGAACAATCGATGTTAACAACAACAAAATGTTGATGACAAAAAAATATAACGTAAACGCGTACTGAAAAAGTGCATAAAAATGTCTAACCAAAAACAAACAAACAAACAGAGAAAATTTGGATCAAATTTCTTCATCAAAGAAAAGAGAATCAGGCCATCATCAATCGATATCATCGATTTTGTTTCTTCATCATTATTACAATTAGAAACCGAAAATGAAAATGAAAATGAAATTCAAAGACCTTCGCCTTGTCACATTGTTTTTTCCCCAATTTTCTTTGATCTGATTTTCTTTATTTTGATTTTCATTATGAAGAATTCTCTTTTTTTCTGGCCAGAAAATGTTTTGGACATTGTTTTTTTTTATCGTTGACATTGGAAATCTTTGTTGTTTTTTATTTTCCTTGAAATGAAAATATCTTTTGGAGAAAAATAACAAAAAGAAACGTAAGAGAAAAGCAAAGTTTTTCTGGTCGCCAATTTTTTTTTTCGTAGTTGTTATTTTTGTTGTTTGCTTGTTTGTTTGTTTGTTCAATAATTAATAAGTAAAAATCATGTAGTGTTTTTGTTTTTCATTTTTCAAATCAAATCAATTGATCGATTGATCGATTGTCATCGAATATTGTAATTTTTTATTGTTGTTGTGTTTTATTTTCTGATATCGATCATCTGATTCCATCATCATTTGATTTTTTTTTTGTTTTTTTTTTTTGGTTCTCGAAGTATATCATATTTTCGTTATGTAGATCGATCAATCAATCAATCAATCAATCGATTGATTGTTCGTTTCGTTTTTCTCTGTTTTGTATACAATGTTAAAGGTCATGGAAATTGATTTTACAACCTGACCCTTTGATCAACCAAAAAAAAAATATTTGGAAACTAACCATCATACACAAAAAAAGGTATTAAGGTATTTTTAATAACCCTGTGTTTACCCTGTGTGTATAAATTTTTTTGAACACGAAAATACCAGTTACGCTGACACCTGATGATTTTTCAGGTTCTCTCTCTCTCTCTCTCTCTCTCTCTCTCTCTCTCTCTCTCTCTTGGTAATTTTTTTTAAAAAATTTAAAATTTAAAGGAAAAAAACCTCCT